CAACATAAACAATTTTGAAGGAAAGCAAGTTATTAGATGTTGGGGATGAGCCATCAGAATACAAAGCCTCCACATCTTCCCCCTGCCCCCCAGAGTCAAAACTTCATTTTGCTCTAGAGTTGATAACTAATGATTCTGCCGCCTTTCACACACGTGCACACGGAAGCTTGTAGATCAGATTTTGTACTTTGCAGAGTTTATGATACAGAACAAGACAGATAGAGCTGTGACTCCTTAGCCCAAAGCCATCTGGGTATGGCCATTTTGAAGGTATATAGGTATCTTCCTCAAGTCCTCAGGTTCAGGGACGCTGTCTTTTTTTAAACATTTCAGATGCTTCTTCAGCCCAGGCCCACATCACAGTGGACAGGGAAGGGAGCCTCACTGATTCTCAAAGTCAAGCGAACCCCCAAACAGCTGTGAGTCAGCTAGGGGGAGATGGTGGGTTGGCTTACCGAGAAAGGTGTGCGGGTCTTCGCGGACTGCCTTAGACCTTCATCCTGAGGGCTTGGGGGAAGGGTGGTCTCCCTTGTGAGTTGGCCTTGGATGGCTTGTGGCATTCAGAACCATTGCTGAGCTTAAATCTCGCCATCTGGTACTGAAGCGGGCGCTGGCATGGATGAGGCGTCATGTAGGACAGAATGCAAAGGTGGTCTTCCTTTCGGTCAGGGAAGGTGGAGAGATGAGAGTTTTGTTGGAGAGAAGGTGGGACCAGCAGTGCTGATACGGTTAGCACTTCTGTTTCTGAACAGAGTCTGCTTCCTGTCACTAAGATCGAGACCATTTGGGACACAGAGCTCCCTAAGGGTATTTGGTATTAAGTACTGCTAACTATCAGTGTTAAGTACTATTAACATTGTTAATGCGGTTGTATAAGTACCTTTTAGTGTTTACTTTTTTTTTTCCAACTAAATTAAACTACTGAGGGTCAGCCCCATTGTACCTTTAGAGCAGAAGTTCTCCACCTGTGGATCATGGCTCCTTTGGGGGGGGTGCCAAATGACCCTTTCACAGGGGTCGGGTTGCATATCAGACATCCATCATATCAGATATTTATATTATGATTCATAGCATTGGCAAAATTATAGTTATGAAGTACTGATGAAAATTTTATCATGGGGGGGGAGGTCACCACAACCTGAGGCACTGTATTAAAGGGTTGCAGCCTTAGGAAGGTTGAGAAGCACTGCCTTAGAGGGATCTCTGTCAGAATCCTCCCTTGTGCCTGGCTGCCTTGATGGAGGAACTAACTTACAATTTGTGTAGCCAAGGCTGGCCTGGAAATCCTGCTCCATTTGCCTCTGCCTCCTGAGTGTTGGGATTCCAAGGCATGCAGCACTATACTGGCTGGAGCAGCCTTTTTTGTAGGCTGTCATGGTGATATCCCGGCTGCTTTGAGGACCTTGAAGAAATTGCAATCCAGCTGCAAGGAAGGCGCAGCTGAAGCCACAGAGCTCTGGTTCAGGAGGCCTTCCTCCCGCCAAGACCATTCTGGGCACTTCGAGCCACGATTGAAGACTCAAGCCCAGGCAAGACAATCCTGGATGTACTCTGGATTATGCGGCTCACCTGTAGCTGTTCTCAACCAGGGTAGGAGGGGAAAGCCCCCCCCAGGCATTCAGCCAGACATCTACAATTCCTGTGACGCAAAGCTCGTGATTAGTTTCCGAGGTCTGTGATCAGTAATACTCAAGGACCGATTGGTGGAGTTCTAATCTGTGTATAAACATCTTATACATTCTTCTGGCTATATAAGCAGACATTTTCCACTGTTTTGATGGGCTAGCCTGGGATTTTTCTCCTGTATGCCCCCATCATATTAGAACCTTAGACCTGATAAAGGCTTCTCTCAAATGGTCTTGTATTACTTCTCTGTAATATATGTCAAGGCTAGAGTGGGCTGGGCTGGTTTAACCTACTTATCCAGAGGCAGCAGGAAAGCAGTTGTAGAATTCCAGAGGGTGGCCTGGGGAAGACACTGTATAGAAAGCTGAGGCTACTGAAGGTGAAAAGATATGAAACCTGCAAGCTCGACTTTCCTTGAGAGCTGTCTGGGGTTAAAAGCTGAAGGTCCCATCACCTCTACTCTGAAGTGGTAACAGGAGCTGCTGGATACTAGGCTGATGCCAGTCAACACTCAGAGCACCTGCATCTGTAAGTTTGGCTTTGGATGCCTGGGGCTAGAGCTACAAGCTAGTAGATCCTAACCTACAAGCCTAACCTACAAGCCTCTGGTACTCCAGGTGTTATTTGTGGCAAGGTGGCTAGTTGTGTCCCTTTGGTTAAGTGTCTTGCTACCAGGCTTGACATCTATACCACTCTTCATCCTAATTTTGAGATCTAGATAGCCCCACCCATACCTGTGAGCATATACCCGTGAGGGCAGCTGGGAGGAGAAATTACTCTGCAACAAGGCTTCAGATTTTGTTGCTGGGTTCTTATTTGCCATGGTCTTCCCTCTGTCTGTGCTGTTGCAGGGCTTCTTGGGAAGAGGAGACATGGAAAAATGCCCACCTGTTCAGCCCAGATAGGGCCTCAGCAACAGACCAAAGCTGTGATTTCATGCAAGTCTACCTTGGTGACCGATGAGTTATTTATAGAGACATGGGTGACTTAGAGGCAGCTTGTCTTAGTTAAGGTTTCCATTGCTCTGAAGAGACACCATGATGATGGCAACACTTATACAGGAAAACTTTAATTGGGGCTGGCTTACAGTTTCGGAGGTTCAGTCCGTTATCATCATGGTGGGGAGCCTGGGAGCGTGCAGGCAGACATGGTGCTGAAGAAGGAGCTGAGAGTTCTACATCTATATCTGAAGGCAGGAAGAAGAGACTGTGTGCCACACTGGGTGTAGGTTGAGCATAAGAGACCTCTAAGCCCAACCCCCACAGTGACACACTTCCTTCAACAAGGCTACACACTCCAGCAAGACTACGCCTTCTAATAGTGTCACTCCCTATGGCCAAGCATTCAAACACATGCATCTATGGGGGCCAAACCTATCCAAATCACCACACAGCTGCACCACTGAAGGGCCCATTCCACTATGCACAACTGTATTCCCTACAGATTGCAAGCATCAGCACCACAGAAGACCCTCCTACCTCCAGCAATTTGTTCAATGCTTGTGTAATTTTGGGAGGGAGCCGCTGGACTATTTTAACTGTTTTGCAACTTGCACGCTTTCTGAGCCCTTCTCCTTTTCTCCTTAATGAATGTTTCAATCTAGAGAAAACAGCGTCATATATGAAAGGCCTGGAAGAGCAGACACTATAGATCATACCGGTTGGCTTATGCTAGAAACTCGGTGCTAAAATTTGCTAAGTAAATGACATGATGGTGTGGTAAATCCTGTTTTTGGTAGTTTATGGTAGGTAAGCCAAGAACATGTTGCCATTTGTAAGACATTTTGGAGGACCTAAAAGTGAGGTTGTTTTGATGCTTCATGAGAACTTGAGAGAGTTTCTCTTGGTAAGAGGTAAAAATGACCTGCCAGTGTCTTTGACAAGTGGTCTCAGGAACAGCTTGCCATCTGCAGGAAGGCTCTTCAGTGTCCCACTTAGGATTTTTGGATTGGCTGCTTTTTCATAGAGGGCATCCTGTTTTCTTCAGAGGAGGCTGGCAGAGAATACAAAGCAATTGAGACCAGACCTAGGATCACAGAGGGACAGACTGAGAGAGCATCAGAAGAGGCCTTTCCTTGGGTGGCATCATGAGTTTTCCAGACACCCCCTGAGAAGTATTGCAGTCCCCATGCAGGGAGTCATATGCTAGAGGCTTGTGTCAGCTTGTTTCCTGTAGCCCACAGCGTCCCTCTGCCTTATCGTAGGCAACAGCATAGTGCTCTAATCTGCACCGTGAAAACAATGATGATCTATTTCCACAAGTCCTGATCTTAGCGGGGAGAGAGGCTAGAACATGTGTGACTTTTGTGGTTGTTGTTACCAACTCAAGATGACTTTTGCCAAGAGCCTCCTGTCTCCAGGCTTGTCAAAGGCATCAGCCACCTCAGCGATCATCCCTCACCTTCAAGGAAGACTGCCCCCATCCCATTTTATCTATGAGGAGGCTGAAGGGACCTCACTTAAGTAGAACTTGGCTGGGCTTTGAGCCACATCCTGTAAGTCATAAGGTGGCACTTGCACAGCCGGGCTGTCCTTATCTTGTTCTTCAGACATTGTTTTCCGTGCATTTTATCTTTCTGAGCTGTTGCATTTGTATATTCTCTCTCTCAGTTATTGATGCCCAGATGGCTCTGCTTCCGAAAGATGAGAAGGACTAGGAAGTTGATAACTCACTCGGTCCTATGGCCACCTGGGGTTCCTATCTGTATGTATGTATGTATGTATGTATGTATGTATGTATGTATCTGTGGAGTATGTGTGCACACACGTGTGTGTGTGTGTATGTGCCTGCATGTGTGTGTGTGCATGCTGTGTATTTGTGTGCATGTGGGGTGTGTGTGTGTGTGCATGTTGTGTATTTGTGTGCATGTGGTGTGTGTATAGTGTGTGTGTATGTATGTGCCTGCATGTGTGTGTATGTTGTGGGTTCTTCCTTGATTACTTTCTAGTTTATGAAGCAGAGTTTATTGCTGATCTAGAAGCTTGTCTATTGCACTAATAGCTAGCCATCTTGCTCCAGAGGTCCCCTGTCTCTGTTTCCCAAGTGTTATGATTACAGAAGGGCCATTATACCCATCTAACATTGGATCTTCTCTTGGGGCTGAGGATAAGTGCTGGGGACTCAAACTCCAGTCTTTGTGGCTGCACAACAAGTGCTTTACCCTGAGTTATCTCTCCAGCCTTCAGCTTCTGGGTACCAAGTCTTCTGAGTACAGCTGCAGCATACCTCTGGCTGGAGGGGTGGTGGTGGAAACTTTATCTCCAGATGTCAGGAAGTGAACTTAACTTGGCACAAGATGCTCCATCTATACCGTGACTTGGCCTATCAGCGTCTCTCCTAGGCACTGTCTCATGAATGTGCTTCTCATTCTCTAGGTTGGGAAAGAGGTTGAAGAAGACCCGCAAGTATGACATCATCACCACCCCTGCTGAACGTGTGGAAATGGCCCCACTGAATGAGGAAGACGACGAGGATGAGGACTCTACAGTATTTGACATCAAATATAGGTGTGCTGGGGACAGAGGCTTCCTCCTAGGCTGAGTGGTAGGATGGTTTGGACACAGCATCCTTGTTCTCTTGTTCCTGTCATGGTGGGACCTGCTCCCATCACTACCTTGAGGAATCCAGAAGAGCAGGGCTGTTGGGTGAATGCTTACTTGAGGGTGGGGGGAAAGAAAAAGAAAAAAAAAGCCCACACTATTTTGGTTGCTTTCTGTCATATTAGCTTTAGAAACAGAGTTTGTTAATGCTTCACATACATTTAAATTTTATTTACTTGTGTGTGTGTGCGTGTGTGTGTGTGTGTGTGTGTGTGTGTGTGTGTGAGAGAGAGAGAGAGAGAGAGAGAGAGAGAGAGAGAGAGAGAGAGAGGTTTCTCTGTAGTCTTGGCTGTCCTGGAGCTTGCTTTGTAGACCAGGATGGATCTCCTGCCTCTGCCTCCCAAGTACTGGAATTTAAGGCATGTGCACCACACCTGGCACACTTGATTTTTACAAAGAACAGCCAGACACTGAAACCCATGACCTGTATTTTGCCAGGGAAAGAATGAAATCAACTAGCAATATTCAGTTATCCCACAAAGTAGTACATGCAGGGCATTATTAGTGATTGCATTGGTTTTATCCCTAAGCCTCTGTGTTTCACATTTGGTGCATAGAAACAAAATATAGCATGAAAAAATTATGTCATTTTAAAAGGTAGATCCATTTCTACTTCAAAATGTGTATAGGGGTATGCGTGTGTGTGTGTGTGTGTATGTGTGTATGTGTGCATACATGTGTCAATAGTACATGAGTATGGAGGTCAGAGGAGAATTTTGTAGTTTGTTTTCTCCATATATCTTACATGAGTTTTATGGGTCAAACTCAGGTCACCAGGCTTGCACAGCAAGCTCCTCTGCCAGGCTGGCTTGTAGTCCTCATATTTATTTATTTATTTATTTATTTATTTATTTATTGATTGATTGATTGTTTGCTTGTTTGAGGCAGGGTCTCATAACCTGGACTGGCCAGGAACTTCCTGAGTACAGACTCATGGCGCATCTCTTGGCTCAGTCTCCAGAGTGCTGGCATTACACATGTGCGCCACCATACTGTGCTGCAAGCTTTGGTTATTATTCACAATAAAAAGGGTCTGTCCTCCTGCAGGCGTGTGGCACATTATGCAACACAGGATCTTTGGATCCGTTGTATTACTGATGTGTATATGCATGTATGTATATATATGTGTATGTACATGTATGCATGCACGTATGTGCGCCTGCACACAGGCACATGCCCCTGCATGTATTTGGAGGCAGAGAACAACTTCCTGGAGTTGATTCCCTCCTTCCAACCATGTGGATCCTGGGAATCAAACTCAGTTTGTCAAGGGAAGGCAGCAAGTGCCTGTACCCACTGAACCACCTTGCCCACTCCTGTACTCTTTTGATTCAGAGCCACTAATAGAGTCTTGTTCATACAAGATGTGGTTGTTACTATTGATTAATTGGACAAGAATCATCTAGGACACAAATCTCTCATCCAGTCTGTGAGTGAGTTTCTAGATTGAATTACAAGTGAACTGAGTACCAGCATTCACCTCTCTTTGCTTCCTGACTGTGGCCCGCTGCCTTATGGTCCTACTGCTATGCTGTCTCTGCCATGATGGACTGTATCCCCAAACTGTCAATCAAGCAACTCTTTCTTCCTTAGGTCACTGTCTCAGTCAGTGTTTCTATTGCTGTAATAGAACAATGCAGAGGAAGAAAAGGGTTCCTTTCATGTCACAGCATATCGTCCGTCCATTATTTAGGGAAACCAGGGCAGGAGCTGAAGCAGAAACCATGGAGGGATGTTGCTCAATGGCTTGCTCCTTCTGGTTTGCTTAGCCTGCTTTCTTATAGAACCCAAGGCCATCTGCCCAGAGGTGCAGTGAGCTGTGCCCTACCATATTGATCATCAATGACCATTCAGGAGAATGTGCCACAGGCTTGCCAAAAGGCCAGTCTGGTGTGGGCATTTCCTCAACTGAGAGTCCTTTCTTCCCAAATGACTCTAGCTTATGTCATGGTGACATAACACTAGCCAGCATAGTTACTTTTACTAAGTATTTTCTTATTATCACAATTAAGTGAAAGTAGTTAATACACTGGGTCATTAAGTTGATTCTCTAAGAGACGTGATAGGATGATCTGTTTTTATTCTCTTTTATTTGTGATTGAATAATAAAAGTTCCTAATCTAGGTGTGAAGCCCAGGCTTGTCCCAACACTCAGGAGGCTGGAGCCAGGTGCATTTTTTTTTTTAATTTAAATTCTGTCTAGAACATAAGATGGGAAAAAGATGTGTTCTCTGATGGTCCGGACACCAGCGTAATGTAGCCTAAAAGACTTCCACACTTGTCTCAGTTCTTCAAACTAGAACATGTTTCCTTTTTGGGGTGATTGTCAGTCCTGGATTGGCACGGCTGCTAGCACTGAAACTTGTCAAGCACTGAAAGCGGATACAGTGAGCCATTTGGGAGCTGTCCAAGTACTAGAGCTACTTCTGGTTCTGAAAGGCCAAGTTCCCTCCACGGCCTAATGCAAGAGTGAGAACCAAGCATGAGAGAAACCAGGAACCCATGTAGCGGCATTTCACGGACAGCCCCTCCCCTGTGTGTGGCATTTCACGGGCACCCCCCAGTCTGGCACAGCAGTGGCACGGGGCCCCATGGCATTGGTATAGGATCTGGGTTTGTTCCCTCCAGTCCCTCGGTGTCCTCCATTTCTTCTAGTCTAGGCAGAAACTCGAGTCCCAGCAAACCCACTTGTATTAATCCTGTACTCTGAGCTATCGGCGACAGTGAGCCTGAGTCCCATGGACTCGGTCTACATGCTGAGTGACCGCTCTTCGTCAGCCTGGCTCTTCTCTGTTGTCATTTTGGGGACAGCGTCAAAACCAGGTTCCTGTGGTCACTTTGTGACCTTATCTCTGGTAGCCTCATTTCATTTAAACATTATTTGTGTAGGTGCGTGCACACATATGTGTATGAGGGTGTATGCATACATGCTGTGGCACGTATGTGAAAGTGGTTTGGCAACTTGCAGGAATCAGCTCTCAAACTCTACTGTGTGGGTCTATGTGGTTTGAATGAACATGGCCCCCATATGTTCATATATGTGAATACTTGGTTCCCAGTTGGTGGAACTGCTTGGGAAGGTCGAGGAGGTGTGGCCTTGCTGGAGGAGGTGTGTCACTGGGGAGTCAGCTTCGAGATCACCAGGCCCAGTGAGCTTTCTTCTGTAGCAACCTGTTCGGGTCAGTCAGCAGGGTCTCCAGCACAGGAGTGAGGATGCACACTTCCAATTCCTGCTGTGTCCTTCACTGTGTCCCGCTTACTGGAGCTCCAACATTGAGGCGCCACTTTGTAGCCGCCCGAGCTGCCTCACGTTGGTGGGGGACACTTTGTAACGGCCCGTTCTGCTGCTCTGGTCCGCGGGACAGGGCCTAGCAAGAGAGAGAGTGGGGACGGAGACGCGAAGAATGGAGACAAGACAGGGAGTCTGATCAAGTCTCTTCAAGTCTCATTTATTGGAAGGAAATCCTGGGTATTTATACCCTTTACCACGTGCCTTGCCCTGGTGGACAAGCACAGCTGAAGGCACTACGTCATGTGCCTTGCAGCGTGGATATCACATACACCTAGCTAGCAGCGTGGAGACCAGTGCGCCTTGCAGCTGGCGGCACTAAACAGCAAAACAAGATATGTGAGAAAAACAAGATGTCTATCAGAGTGTGCTCAGCTGTTGTGGGCTGTTGAAAACAAGTCTCTTGTCAGGGTATATGGCCTGAGATGGCTGCAAAGATGATAGCTGCTTTCGGCTAGGTGTTGGCTCCCAACATTCTTCCTGCCTCTGATTCTGGATCAGAAGGGATGGATGGTAGCAGCCTTGTTATCTTAACCTCTGGTCAGTATCTGACACTGAGTGGAGTTTGCTGGTGGACTTTTCTCTCCATCTCTGAGTGTTAACTTTGAATTTTTTTCTTTCTCTAGCTCTGTTAGGTAGGACATACCTTCTCCTTTAACCTATTAAGGTGGTAAATCTGTATTTATTAAATTTCTAATATATAATCAGTTCAGGATTCTGGAGGGTGAGACAGCTTGATCACGTGTTATATTTCTACATGCACTGTCTTATACATGGCTTTCCTTCTCTCTAGGGAGTAGTGACTGGCCATTGTTTTTCTGTCTGTCAGGCTCTGTTAAAAGTTACACTGGCCTCATAAAACAAGGAGGGCATGTTTCCTTATTTTCCTTCTCTGCTAGTTTGGATCAGATTGGAATCATTTGTTTTTTAAGTGTTTAGTAGAGCATATCAAAAAACTGGCTGGACCTGCGCAGTCTGTGTGGAGTTTTTGGGATCAGTGATATTCATTTCCTTGAATAGTTTTTAGAATATTTGGTCTTTATTTCTTCCTGGGTCAGTTTTGATCAGTAGTTTTGGGACATTTTGTCTATCCCTTTAAAGTTTAGAAACCTGTTGTTGTTTAGTTGTTCCCAACACTCTTCTTTAGTCTCGTAAACATTTGTAATATGAGTAGCTCTGGTCTTTCTATTCTTTGAAAGACAGGGTCTTTGTGTAGTCCTGGCTGGTCTGGAACTTACGTAGACTAGGCTGGCCTTGAGCTCGCAGAGATCCACCTGTGTCTTCCTCCCAAATGCTGGGATTACTTAATTCCTTGGTGTCTACCACCAATGTCTCCCTCTCTTGTATTTTTAATACTATTATTTTTTTCCCTCCCCCTCTTCCCCTTTGCTCGGTCTTACAGGAAGTTTGGCTTCATCACTGTGTGTGTGGACTCATCCTTGGGCCTCTCCGATAACCCTGGTGATGATCCGTTTTCAGTTGGTGTCTGTATTTGTCCCTCGGCTTCCTTTGTGCACATTCCATTCCTGCCACTTCCTCCTCTGAATTCGCAGTCCCTTCTGTCATTGTCAGTCTCCCCAGCTGGAATCAGTCTGTGTCAGAGACTCCCGCAGACATTCAGGACTGCTGCCAGGCCCTGCTCACCCGCCTCCCCTCAGCGTCCCTGAAGAACTGAACTTTGGGGGAGCTCCCTACAGAAGCTCCTGCTGTTTGTGGTTGAAACAAGGATGTGAATGGACTCGGGGGTGAGTCGGTCAGACACAAGGCCACCGGTCAAGGGGACACTGACCGCTGGGAGGCTCAGAAGCTTTTTCCCTAACATACAGGTGTATAGGAACTAAAGATGAGGAAGCAGGGTTGGGGGGGTCAGGGGGATGAGATTGCTGTCACCTCTGTCATGTCACTACTTAGCAGTAGCCACTAGAGAGTGTATGAGTACACGTCTGTGGGTGTTACTTTTTCTGTTGAAATAGGCCCATGTTACAAAGGCCGATTTAGGGCACTTTCTCCCCTGAATGTCATACTGTGAACAGTTTTTTTTTTTTTTTTTATGTCAGTAAGTATGAAAGAATGAAGGTTTCTTTAAGGTCACCTTTCATTTCCACATAGTGTTTTTGAGGACTCATCTATCTGCACACTGATAAACTACTCACAGAGTCTTGTTTTTCCTGTCCACCAAATGTTTTTGGTTCCTTCCAGGAAGCACACACACTGAAATCGGATGTGGATGACTCATGGGTTATTTTATGATGGAGTGGAAAGATGGGCATTGTGCTTGGCACCCAGGGTAGTGTGGTGGCTCCGATGCCTCTTACTGGGCGTGCCACTTTCTGACCATACCTCATGAGTTGGAACCCATGTGGATCCGTCAGGCTTGTTTCCTCCCCGTTTCCAGTCAGGTAGAGAAGACATCACAGGCTAGGAAGGCTTCTGTGTACAGCAGCCCCGCCGCAGTGCTGGGAATCAAACCTAGGACCTCAGGCATGCTAGCCAAGCACTCCGCTGCTGAGCTCTGCCCCCAGCTCAACAGCCTCCACCTTTGTTTCATACAACTGGGATGCTTCGGCTTGGGAAAAATTACTGCATGGAGCACAGAGAGCCCTGGGCTTTTGGAATGGTTCCATATTTCGGGAGGTGTTTGAATTTCACTTGTGTTTTGAGCTCAGTTGGCTTGGTATAGAGTTGCAATCAGCATTTTGGGTCTGTGCAAACCCCTAGCTTATCATGGGAGACTTTTGTTCCCTCTGAGCATCTCTGCAGGACAGGTACACATGAGTTTTTCTGCTTGTGTGGCAGGCAGCCTGGCAGCTGTGTTGAGTGTAGCCCAAGATACCCAGCTGCTGGGAAAAGCAACCAAGATACCCAGCTGCTGCTGTCCCTGCCAGCCCTGCATCCTGCTGAGATGGGCTCTCTGCGTGTGGAAACAGCATGGCTCCTCCAGGGTGTGGACTGCCATTCTCAGCAGGCTTGTTTGCCCCTCTGTTGTGGCTAGAGCTTCCTGTAGGATACGAATGACATCAACATGGCATAGCAGACTGTGTCTACTTTAATCTCCTGAGCAGTCATACTGCTAGAGAGTAGGTTTGAGGTGGAAGAAGAGCTGGCACCCTCATCTGAGGTTGAGGTCTGGATTCTGAGCGCTTAATTGAAGGTTAAACAGCTTTCCAGTGGTAGCATCTATGACTGCTTCTCCTTGCTAAGGAGCTTGGGATGGTTAGGTTCAGGGGACTCCTCTGCCCACCTAATGTCCTCAGGGTTTAGCTTTGCTATGAAAGGAACAGAAGGGGAGCTTGGGTTCCCCTCTGTTCTGCAGCACTCCGCTGTATACATGTGGCTGTTTATTCCTATAGCTATGGGGGTTGGTTGTCAACAGCTCATGGGGTGAAGGTACAGGACCTTTCAAAGGTTCCCTGTGATTCTGTGACACTTGTGAGGGGCCACCTGGGCAAATGAAGTTGAACACCCAGGCAGGCAACAGTGCCACGTGTTGGTGGTTCAGAGTGTATTCCCGAGCTATGATGGCTTCCATCAGCTCTTTCTGGGGTCGGCAGGCCACTGTCATTGCATGTCATTTGTGGACATTTGTTTTGATGTAGCTGTGGAGATCGGCTCTGATTGTTTGCTCTGACACCATCAGTAGTCCTTAAATGTTTTTGTTTTTCAAGTATGATTATGTAAGGTCCACAATTCAATATCGATGAAGTAGCTTTAATGGGGCTAGCCTCTGCCTCCTCCTAAGCTGTCGATGCAGCTGTAAACTTTCTCGCATGGTAAAAATATCTATTGTACCCATGTTGTCAGCTATGTTAGAGCTGGAGTTTTAGATCAGCAGTCTCGTACAGGGATCCTGCAAGTTCAGCCAGTCTTAGGAGACAGACAGCGGTCATATGCTTACATAGGCCCAACTCCTCAAACTATGGCTGGCACGTCAAATTTTTTTGCACACCCAAGACAACATAAAGGTTTATTTCAGTCCCTGGTTGTTTTGCCCTGCTGTGAGGCAACCATCTCAGCAGGTGTGGTAGAACAAAGCCAGGGAACAAAAGGGAGGGGGGGAGATTGGAGTCCAATAATTCCCACCCCCTCATGATCTGGAGGCCTTCCAGCAGGCCTCACCTCTTAGTACCCCGACAGCGCTGATCCCGCTAATTCAGTGGGCAGAGGGGAAACATTGTGGATCCCAGACTGAGTTTTGTGCATCCCCGTCCCAACTGCTCAGCCTGGGCTTTACTCCCGCTCTTCTTGCCTTCCCCTCCCCACTGCTGAGATTATAGGTCTGTGTCAGCAAGCCCAACTACAATTTAATGTTTGAGAAAAGAACCAAAAGGCAAATAATATTTCAGGATACATGAAAGTTGATTGCAAATCAGATTTCAGTGCCTGTACATAAAGTTTTGAATACAGCCGCCGTCCTCTGTATTGTGTCTGGCTGCCTTTTTTTTTTTTTGTCTTGACAACAGGGTTCATAGTTGACACAGTGACTGCAGGATCTGCAAGGTTTAAAATAGTTACCTTTGGATGCTTTGGCCTGAAAACCTTTGGATGCTGAGGGAAAAAGAACATGTGTTCTAAGGGGTGGGGGCTATGTGTGGAGGGAGGGGTCCTGGGAGTCTTGTGAGTCAAAGGACGGTTACACGGAAAAGCAGAATGTGCCTTTCAGAGAACACATTTTTCAAAAGCCCCATGGTTGAGGATCATGCCAAGGGCTGTAGAGACCATGATGATGATGACGAACAAGACTGTTCACACAGCAGGAATGGGGAAGGGGACACAGTGTGACAGTGTGGCCTAAGGGGTGGAAACTGCCAGGGCGGAGTCCTTCCAATGGCTTCAGTGCTCTGGCAGAGTGATGATTCTCCTCCTTTCTTCTCTTTCAGGTAAAACCTCCTTGGCTTGTCAGCATCCTGTGAGGAAGCTGGTTAGCTGCAGCCTGGGCTGTCAAGGTCTGGGCACCATCTCTTGCCTGAGGTGTTGAAACCCAAACCAATGTTATTTATGAAACTCTGGCTTCACCCTACATGTCTGGCATCTGGAATGTCACCGTCATGCTTGTTCTCAGCCGCCAGATGAGAGTCACCTTGGCCACCCTCGGATGCCCCTTTGAAATGCTCTTTCCACCGTTGTCTTGAGGGGGTTTTCTGCCTTCCTGAGAGATGAAGATGGGAACATCGAGTTCAGAGATTTTTCTAGAACTACTATAGATAATAGTAAAGCTACAATTGGGAGGATCAAGAGTTTTATTAAAAAGCTGGGCTGGGGAGATAGCTTAGCTCAGAACCTGATCACCTTGTAAGCAGGGGACATGAGTTTAGTCCCTAGTGCTCACATTAAAGCAAAACTAGTATGGTGGCCCACACCTGGAATCTCAGCACTGGGATGCAGGTGGACTGCTCAGTCAGCCTAGCCCAATGAATGAGTTCCAATGAAGACACCTGGTTATAGAAAAGTTGGTTGGCTCCAGAGGAATAATGGCAAAGGTTCATTTCTGGCCTCTACATACCTGAGTAGGTATGCCAACACACACACACACTCACACACCTCAAAAGCTAGAGGGACCTTCAGATGTACCTGGGAGAATCCTGACATTTTTGTTCTAAACTTCTTGAGGTCTGGCTTTATTTAGGGGAGAGTTGTATATTTCAGAATGGATGTATAAGTTCCCTACCCTACCTAAGAGGCTCCTCACAATAGGTCACAGAAGAATTTCACATTATCAGGGATAAGACCACATGGGTGAGTGCATAGATGGGTATGTACACCTATCAAATAGTTTCTCTTCTCGTGAGAATGGAAAGTGCCAGGCAGCTCTCAGTGATTTTGTGTGCTGTACAAACATTGCTCTGCTCTGCCTCAGTGCTGTGGTGTCTGTCTTAGGAATGTAATGCTAAGAAATCACTGTGGCAATTTAAATGAATGTTAATTTGGTTGGCTGAAAAAAGAAAAAGAAGGAGAAGGAGGAAGAAGAGGGGGAAGAAAGAAGATACTTTTAAGGACTCTTGTTGGAAGCTAGTCCAGGCTAGGTTGGACTGAACTGGACTGGAACTCTCCAGGGCCCACTGCTGTTCATGAGGAGCTCAGGTGGGCACTTACCCTGGGAGTGGATGGATACCCAGGGATACCCTAAACAGGCCCTGGACTCAGGTTAATGGAGGCCTCCCGTGACCTTCTCCTATATTACTGTAGCTGGAAAGCTTCTGTGCATATCTAATAGCAGTGCCTTTGGGACCCTGGGAGTGCATCACACCTGGGAAGGTGGCCCTTGTAATCTCATTTCCTTTTCATCTTTGTCCTGAGGTTTGTGTATTTGCCTGTCTATTGCCCTGTTCCATTGCTTTGGATGAAAATTTGTACCTTGGCCAGCTCCACCCTGTGTTCAGCCTCTCCAGTTCCTGACTGGGGTTGTATTGGTGGCAGTATCCTGGTTCTGGAGCCTGGCTGGGCACTGGTTCCTTCAGCCCTAAGCCAGCATGAGGTGTGCTGTGCTCCTGGGATGCCTTTATTTCACCTTTTCAGTTGGCTTCTCTTGTCTGCCATTAGCCAAGAGGGGTGGGTCTGGAAACAGCTGGTGGCTCTCTCCTCTCACCACGTCCTCAAGCACGGTGGTGACTCTAGGAAGCTGGCCATCTCAAAGCTGTACACTCTCTCAGCCTTGGAGCTGGGACTCAAGGGTCCCAGAACTGCAGCTAAACCCATCTGGAAAAGCTGGATTCTCCATTCTCCTGCCTTATGTATGAACACCACGGATCCGGCTGCCAGCCACTCATCACTGCCTGGCAAGAATGGTGGTACAGTGACCTTCCAAATCCTTGATGAAACTTCAACACCATAGGCACTTAAATAAAGATCCTTAAAGCAAATAAAAAAAATAACCTTTAGATTGAATCACAAGTATATTGGGTTTGGATATTTTCTGATGGAACCGGTGAGATGACTCACTGTGGTTAAGAGTGTGAACACTTGCTCACCTTAGGCACAGCTCACATAGGGGTGAGCTGGGGTTTCTAGGGGGTGTCTGTGTCCTTGTGATTTAGAGACATATGAATGGAATGGGGCCAAGGAAACATGCCCACCCCTGCCCCCACGCACACATGCTACATTTGTTCTTGTCCTAGAAACTGTTTCAGGTTGGGAAGCATTGAACCCCCATTTGTTTGGAGACTCTTGGGGTGTCCTGAGTACGATGTAGAGCCTATCATGTCAAACCTGCTTATCCGTGCCTCATTCCTTTGTCATCCTAGCCCTGGAGAGGTAAACCCAGGATACAGAGCAAGACTTCATCTCAACAAACAGAAAAGATCTCTAAGGTTCTATAAATGTAAGTTAAAACATGTCCAGGCTGGATTAATCCCTGGGTGGATAAAAGCCATAGAGAGAGAGTGACTTACTTACATTCACTTAAACTCTGTAGTATTGGACATCACCAAGAACTTGATTGATGGGTGTGGTCTGCTTGACTCTCCCAGCGGTTCACTGATCTTCTTATAGTCAAGCACGTTCCTGCCAGTCTTATTCCTCCTGACATCCAGGGATGACCGAGCCCGAAGAGGAAAGAGGTACTCCTATTCCCATAGTGCCTCTTTCAGTGGAGAGCTGGCTATGAGTTCAGCTTGTTCTTTGGTTCTAGGGGTTCGCTTGTAGTGGGTCCATCTAAATCCTGGCCTCTTCTTCACAAAGAAAGCCTTTCTTCCCCCATGTGCCCCATAAGAGCTACCAGAGTCAAGGAGGGAAAAGATAGATGGTCCATGGCTCCCCAAGCCTGTCACCCCCTTGCCTGCATTTCCTACCAAAAGTGCTGACACAGTAGGGAAGAGGGGAAATCACTCAAAATGGTACTTTCTAAGGTTGTGGGAGCCCCTATGGAAAGTCTTAAGACTATAGTATGTGCCTTTCCCACCTTTTTCAGCAAAATGCTGGCTTTGGGGACCTTTCAAATGGAATTGGGAAATAACCAGAAGAGAAATTTCTACAGGGTGGGTACACACATGCCCTATGCTTGCTGATGAGGCTCTGACTACCAAAATATTTTCAAGAGATTTGATTGGCTCCTTAGTATTGTTAGCTCTGGGAGAGGGGATGGACTAGGCTGTGAGCATCCGCAAAGAGCGTCATAGCTCAGTCTCAATGAAGACTATGGCCAAGAGTCAGACCCATCTGCTTTGCAGAAGCACAGATCTGCCTCCATAAAGCCTGCAAGTGCCTCCTATCACAGATGGGAGTCAGTGCTTGTTTTGAGCTCAGCTATGGTAGAACTCTTAACACTTTTATACGAGAATTTAGGAAACCCTCTTGTGGACTCAATGTGAAATACACAGCAAACAACTTGGTGACATCACTATATTTCCTGTTCTTGTTGGGAACCAAATAACACAAGCATTTCAGGTAGTTGTTAGAACCATTGCCTGCACTGTGGCCTGAGTATTTGGTCTGCGGAGTATTTTTCCCACTTGGTAATTGCCTCAGAATTTCTTGCTATCTTTAGTCTCCATGGGCCAGACTATCTGTCAGCATGCTCCACCTTCCTAGAGATGGGCTGTTTTTGATGTGGAGGGGCCACAGTGAATTTACATGTATCTGTTAGCAGAGCCTCTGATTTAAATGTTTGACTGGTCCATCTGACACCCCATACTGTGAGTAGGTGAGACCATTGTGAGCTGTTAAGTTTGCAAGAAGCCAGCTGGGTGGTGGGGAAGAAGCAAACGACAGAGAACCTGGTGTGATTCCAGGCTTGCCGCTCCCAGAAACAGGGCAAGCTTTCTCCACTAGCCATTGTGATCATTTAAAGGTTAGGTCTAATTTAGTGTTGCTCAGTGATGAGTATCTCTCGGGTAGACACCAAGTAACAAAGCCTTGTCGCTTCCACCCAAAAGTCTTTTTCAGTTACTGGAGTCAAAACCAGTCATCCTCAGGCTCCTCCAGAAGCTTCAGGTGTTAGAGAGTGCTTACAGCTTGCGCAGTCCCACATACCTCACCAGACACAACGTCATCACGAAGAGCAATAAGATTCCGCACGGGTGGGATGTTGCCAAAGTGCAGCATAGGCTCATGTTTGGGAAAGATAGAGTGAACGACAGAGTCAAGTTCAGGCCATTGGGCCTGGGAGGAAGGGTGTAGAGGTGGCTGGTGAGGCATGAGGTGTGGGAGAAGGACCCAGGCTTGGACTCAGCCCAGGCAGGGACCAAAAAAAAAAACCAAAAACCAAAAAACAAACCAAAAACAAAAAAAAAAAAAATCCAAAACCAAACCAAACCAAACCAAACCAAACCAAACCAAACCAACCAACCAACCAACCAAAAACCCATAGAATTGGGGTATGAGCTATAGGCATCTGGGAATGGTCACCATTGTCAATAACTTTTGGAGTCTGTCATGTGCCAGGAGCCTTGGCATATAATTTCTTATTCAGTTCTCAGCTGTTTTTTTTTATTAGGTGGGTATTATCTCTGGAATATGCTCTGAGGTTCTTTGATCATTTCCACAGATCAAGATCTGTTTCCTCTCAACGATGTCCCCCTCCGTTGTTCTCCCTCAGAAAAATCAGCTTACTGCTTGTCTGGTATTTGAACATTCTCTGAGTCCTAGCATCATGTAATGGAGTTGGTAATTCTTTGTCTTCGTAGGAACTGACCTAGGGAAGTAAGTTACCACACAGGCTCACAGGTTTGTGAAGGGTAGGCCTTGGACCATGAGCCTCTTACCCTCTCCAACATGTTTACTTGGAGTGGAGAGATGGGAGACACCTCTTTAGGACCTTAAGAGCTTTTTAGGACCATTTGGGGTGGCAGAGGATGACTGAGCTCTGGGCTGATGGGAATTAAGGTCACACATCCCAAGAGGCACTCTACTTAGGTGGTAGCTCCCCAGTGAATAAAAGAATTTGTTTGCAGGACAAGGAGTCTGTATGCCCAGGAACCCTTGGCCTTGCCTTTCTAAATTCTACCAGGTCACCTGGGTCTTTGGAGTACCATTTCCAGTTGGACCAAGCTGGGTTTAGGGCTATGGTGGGATTGTCCTTCCTAGGAGCACTTGAATGCCTGAGTTGTTGGGGGAACTCTGTCTTGTGGGCATACCATGGCTGTCACTGTGTAAATCAGAACAGCTCTGACTACCCACAGAGGATCTGCATAAGACTGGCCCTGTTGGTAGGTAGTCCTTTGTGGAATGGCATTGGCATTTGACAAAGTCATTAGACCCTCACCTTAGATTCTAATCATTTTCTCCTGCTTCCTCCTGCTGGAGCTGTGTGCAGCTGTGTCCCTTCTATGTAATTTCATCTCAGCTGTATGTGGTCTAGAGTATGTAAGAAGCAGAAGGTTAATTAGTGGTATACTCCATCTATAGTGTGATATTGGGCCAGGCCTTGTACACTCAAGTATTAGGAATAGCTGGGTAGACCATGACCTGATTTGGACTGTGCCCTGGGCAAACAGTACCCTTGGTCTTGGCTTTCTAAATTTTACCAGGGCACCTGGGGCTTTGCAGTACCATTTCTAGTTGCCCCAAGCTGAGTTCAGGGGTATGCTGGGGCTGTCCTCCCTAGGAGCTCTTGCAAAAGTTCCCTTTTATGTCTGATCTCATCACGGTGTTAATGACTAAGCAAGCCAAGCATCTTTGGGGTTAACACCTGGTGGCATCATTTCTTTCTAACATATGAGCTGACAATGCTTCCCCCCAAATCCACAGTCTAACAGAAACACAGTTTACATGAGAACCTCCTTTTTGAGTTTTTTGGTCAGGGCTCCCCAAAAGACTCCCAAAACATTGCTGGTTGTCCCTAGAGGTAGGAGGTAAGCCCCTATCACTAAAGACACTGTGAACTTCAGACAGGACCCAGAGGGCCTGGACCAGGGGTCTGACCTGAAAGTACCTAGTATACACTTTTCCAAGGAAGGGAGGCAGTCAATAGTCCTACCTAGCTATTATTGCTTATTAACTACAGCAATGACTAGTGAGGTGTGATAACCTTAAAGATGTCACATGGTGTGGATGCTTTGATGGTAAGCAAAAGTTCTCTACTTGGATTTAGGGCTCACTCAGTAAGAGGGAAATCATGCTCGGTACCGGAAACCTAGTCAATCTATATGGGGCTAGATAAGTCATGGGCCTTGGAGGGAAAGCTACCACCTCTACTAAGCCAGAATAACCCCCCAGCTACGTTCTAAATGTTTATACTTTCCCCCACAGATAAGCATAGTTCTTAAGGTAACCTCTCTTTGCAACAGACCATTACAGAAAATCACAACTGGTCAGAATGCAGAGAAGAGACTGTGCGGAGCCCAGCTCCATCTGGTAGACCCATGACAAACTCCTGCACCTAAAGCCCACAGAGCCTCATGGAATAGGGGATGGAAAGACTGTGAGAGTCACAGGGTCAAGGAGGCACCATGAGACTGTGCCTCCTAGAAACGTTAAAGCTTTACTCCTGAGGTTTCATCAGCATGGGTGCCTAAATAACACCTGAATAAGGATGCCAGCAATAGACATACTGACATCTTATGGGGCCCCAACCATGGACAAAGAACCTCAGGCAACTGAGGCATGCTGTGATTGGGAACAACTCCTCCAGTTGGTCTTCAATTCATCCCTGAAATCATATACATACAAGTAGCATTATATGAACTGAGCAGGTATATTTAGGCATGTATACACACATATATATACACAATTAAAAAGAGGCCATGAATTTTGAGGAGGAAAATACATACAAGGGGTTGGATGAAAGAAGCGGAAGTGGGAAGTGATGTAACTTCAAAAGGTAGGATCAAAACAAAGTACTTTGAAGCTGTTGTAGGGTGTCCACCAGAGAAGATTCCTCAGACACAGGTTTTAGCCAGCAGAAAGTCTTCATTAGCTGGCCAGCAGGGTCCCAGTGTGGCCCTCAAGCT